TTGTTGAAAATTGAGGGAGGTTGGACCAGAAGTATAGAAAAAGTACAAGAACAAGGAGTTCTTGGTAATCCACAGGAGATAGACAATTCCACAAGATCGGGAGCATGTGTGAATAAAGCATGCTCCAGCAGGTCTTGGTGATTGCAAGAATTAGATTAGTGAGTCTAATGATTTTTTCTAGACTGGATCATAATGTAAGTTCTTATTGTCTATAGTGGAAGTTATTGGCTTGGTCCTGGAGTTTTTTTTCAATTAAGGGTTTTCTTCGTCAACAAATCTTGTGTTATTTACTACTTTATTTATTATTGTGGCAATTCAACATAGGATAACTTGACTTAATTGACTGAACTTCTAGAATAATTAAAAAGTGAATTATTGTTTTTAATTGGTAGTTTTAATTCCGTGTTATTCACCCATTCTATGAGATTTTAGGGTCGAATTCGTAACTTTCAAGTGGTATTAGAGATCAAATTCAATTCATGAACCTAGTTTTCTAGATGAGTAGTTCATTGTCTGTTCCATCGTATTTTGATGGCAGTAGCTACACCTATTGAAAAGTTAGAATGCGAGCCTTTCTGAAATCGATGGATGAACGTATCGGTTGAGCGTAGTGAATTGTTAGACTGCCTCTTCTATCACTGTCAATGATGTTGTCACTCCCACTCCTATGGCAAATTGGTCAAAGGCTAATTTAGATGAATGTAATTGAAACAGTAAGGCTTTACATGCTTTATTTTTGGTTGTATCACCAGAAGAATTTAGGTATGTGTCTATGTATGAGGTTGCTAAAGAAGTTTGAGATATTTTACAGACTACACATGAGAGAACTGAGGAACATGAAAGAACTCAGGCTATTAAGAATTTTAAGTTAGAGATGTTGACTACTAGGTTTGAAAGATTAGGATGAAGGATGATGAGACCTTCGATGACTTCTATACGAGCTTGAATAACATAGTAAATTCCAGTTTCAACCTAGATAAGAGAATTCCTAAGCCTAAAATTGTCAAAAAAAAAAAAAAATCTTAAATCTTGACCTGAGAGATTTAGGCCTAAAATCAGGACTATAGAGGAGAGTAAGGACATAGATGCTATTAAGGTTGAAGAATTGGTTGGATTTCTCCAAACTTATGAACTAACATTAGTTAAACCTAAGAAAGATAAGTCTTTGGCCTTGAACACTGTTAGGGATGATTATCATGATTCTTTTGATTCAGAATCATTTAATGATGAGAAAATAGCCTATTTTATTAAGAATTTACAAAAAAATGTTTAAAAATAAGAAGAAAACTAAAGAGAGACATAGAGGATACCCAAGTGAGTCTAGAAGAAATCTAACACATTGAGACGTCATAAGTGTCAAGGTTTTGGCCATTATAAAAGTGAGTGTCCTAATGGTAAGAGAAATCAGGGTAAAGTTATGCATGTAACTCTCACTAATGACGTGTCTAGATCGGATAATCAAAGTGAGAAGTCCACTCATGAGGAGTTTATGACCTTTACTACTAGGATTAAAAGTGAATCTAATAAGGACGGTGAAAATGTTGAGAAAGTATATAGTGATGAGCACTCTGAGGAAGATTCTGAAGATGAGGAAGAGATTTGTGAGGCTTATCAACAATTATTTGGAGAGAGTCTTAAGATTAAAAAGGTGAATAAAAATGTACTTAAGAAGGTCAATGAACTTAAGTTAGTTAGAAAGAAACTTGTAGTTGACCTTCAGGAGTCTACCTTGTACCTCAATAAATTAGATACTGTGAATTAATCCCGCTAGTCTAAGATTAAGAACCTTACAGGTGAACTCGAGAAGTCATCTAGGAGAGTTAGTGAGCTAATCATTAAGAATGGTAAATTAGAAATTCAGGTTAAGAACCTTTTGAGCAAACTTGAATATTCCAAGTCTCAACTCTTGTTTTTTCTAGTGGTTCTGAGAAGCTTGATAATCTTTTAAGGATGACCAAATCTTCTGGTAACAGGAGTGGTCTAGGCTATGATAATTCTACTACTCATGATGCTAGCAGTTCCAAAACCACATTCGTCCCTGCTACTAATAAGACTCAGAGATGAGGTAATCACATTGGACAACTTAGGATGCTACCAAATAGAAATCAATTCAGGAACCACGTAGATTTGGTCATAGGTTCACCCCTAGTTGTTTCAATTGTGTGAGTTAGGAAATATAAGGCCTAAGTGTCATAAATTCCTGAATAGAAATAGAAATTTGAATTTCACTAGAGTTAGAAATCAGGATTTTGATAGCCGGGTTGACTTCCTCACTAATTAAGTGAGTCATTTGACCAAGTTAATGATACAGTTGACACGGAATAAGTCTTCCACTGGACAAGTCTGGGTTAAAAATTAGAGTGATCTGAAATTTTTTGAAATTGATCACATTGCTCTAAAGATAAAAGTATTTGCATACCTAACTGATTGGGTGATTCAGGTGTTTTTGATGCATGATGGTGCTTATTAATTGTGATTCATTCATTATTGCATGCATCTCATTTTTATTTTGCTTTTTAGGTAGTTTGATTTTTTTAAAAAAAATTTGAAACAGGGAATTTTTTCACTGCACCATGATATATGATTTACTTGAACATGTGTGTTGTGACCAAGTGTGATTT